TCACTAAAGAGGTAAGTTCACCATAAGAATTGTCAATCAAGTAAACTTCTTTACTTGTGTCCTTGGATTTAAGATGTCTATGAAATTTGGAAAGTCTGTCAAGTTTTTTTTTTAAGTTAGTAGACTACTTTTGGGGAGCAATTTTAGGTTTAAGAAAAATCGAACAGAAAATAGTTTTCATTATCATTTCTTATTCTCACCCCGCCAAATACCCCTCTTATTAACATTTTGCATTAGTGTGGTACACTTGCTACAATTGATTAACCAATATTAATTCATTATTATTAACTGTAGCCCATTATTTACTGTGTTGTATAGTTCTGTGGGTTTTGACAAATGTGTATCCACTGTTACAGCATCCTACAGAATAGTTTCACTGCCCTAAAAATCCTCTCTGCTCCACCTATTCACCCTTCTCTCCTTCCCCTGCTCCCTTCTCAAACATTAATCTTTTTACCGTCTCCATAGTTTTGCCTTTTCTAGAATTTATTTCTTTACTTTTATTAGCATTTATTTGGTGCTGAATTTACTCCTGAGCCGTAAGTTTTCGTTTCTTCAGTTTCTTCTGGGATATCTTTTTCTTCTGTGCAGCCTCCCCTCTGGCTTAGGAATAGTCTGCTGTTTTTTTAGTGAGGATCATCTCAGTGTGGCAGGGAGAGCTCACGGAGGGGTTCATCCACCCACGAGCTCTGTAAGCTCTGTGCCGCATCTTGGGAGCCTAGTTTAAATGGGTGCGCTCAATGACCAGAGACTCTACATTCAAACCCTGAAGTTCAGTGTTACTCTCTGCATTTTCAAGCATGTGCAGCAAAAATTCAGCACTGTTTTGGGGCCATCGACCCCCATGTCCAGCCCCATTGTTTGGCCTGGGCACACCTAGCAGCTGCACCATTGATTACAATGGATTGGCATACCTTGCTTCTGCAGGGTGACATTGTTCAGATATTCGGTGGCTTTTTAGATCTACATACCCTTGATGGCCTGGGCAATTTCATGAGTGTTCTTAAAGTGAAAACAAAGATTTGAACCTCTTAATTTACATGATTTTTGGGGTTTTCTGGGTCAAGTAATTAGCAAACCATTTTTAGAAGCCACCTCAGGTGGCTTAGGGAAGAGCTAAAATCTTATATCGTCGGAATCATGTAGTACTAGCCTTTCCAAATTGGCTTCTTTCACTTAGCAGCATGCACTTAAGGTTCCTCTGCATATTTTTCTGGCTTGATAGCTCATTTCCTTTTATCACTGAATAATATTCCATTGCATGGGTGTACCGTAGTTTAATCATTTACGTATTAAAAGACATCTTTCAAAGACAAAATTTGCCTTCAGATTTTGGCAGCTGAGTAAAGCTGCTATAAACTTTTGTTTGGACATACCATAAACTTTTGTATGGACATAAGTTTTTGACATGCGTTCTAGAATTTAAGATATAATTGGAGTTTGGAAAGGTCCATCAGGGTTTTTTTTTTGTTGTTGTTGTTTTTGTTTTTTTCTTTAACAAGAAGAATGTAGTTTTTGTTAATGTTCAGCTCTCAACCTGCTATAATCACTTAGCTGGTGAGACAAGCACTATACTGCAAGGATGCAACATCAAAAGTTAACACAGGAAAAAGGAAATATTTCCAGAGTAAACTGCCCGTTCTCAGACGTGTAGTCCAGTCCCTAATCCTGAAAAGGGCTTTCTTTGAACTAGTCAGAGCCGAGGGCAGATACTTGCTTTCTTGCCAGTTACAGTGAAGCTAAATTAATCACTTAATTTATCACATACTTATGTATGACCTGAGAATTAGAGTTGAAATATCTGACGTTAATAAACCAAGTATAAAATATTTATCTGTTTTATAATTTTATGTGAGCAATTTACCTGATGATTTTTATTTCATACTGAGGAAAGTAAACACATTACAAATGCCTGTCTAGTGTATGAACACATCTTTGGGCTGTTAATGTGGCTCTTTCTTGCTTTTGAGTAAGCAAAGAGCCATTCTTTCAAGACTTCCTGTGCCACCAATAATTCTGCCAAGTGGTCTGACATCCTGGGAATTTGCCAGCCTTTCTTCAGAGACTTTGACTCGTGCTGAAACACCCTTCGAGTTTCTAGTGGTCCATTTAAATGTTCTGCTTCAGTGTATGTAGCTGCTGAGCATATAAATTCCCATCTTGAATCACCCAGCTCTGAGTGTTGTAACTTCAGGAAACTCTCTTAAACGTTTTTGTGTTTTAAAGAATACCAAACCTCTCTTTGCTGCCTGGGGATATTATAAAGGTGGATTAGCCCAAGTTTTTAAAGCACTTGAAGCTCCCCAGGGGAAAGTGCCTTGCAACTTCCGGGCATAATTACTGGGTATATTCCAGCTGAATAAGGCAAGTAAAGTGCACTTACTTTAAAGCCAAATGCTCACTCTTTTCTTCCGAGGACTCCACTTAGCTCCTTCGTAGGGCTAATATATCTTGAATGTGAAAGCATTTGAGTTGCAATGGGGGATGTTTTGATTTATTACTCAGTATTCTATCATGAATTTGGACTCATTATCATTTTGGTATCTGAGCCTAAAGACGTCATGCACATGGTCATACACTAGATAGGCATTTGTAATGTGCATCTTCCTTAACCTAAATGAAAGCGGACAGGTGGCCCTCCTGGCTTCTGAAGAGCACTCAGACTAAGCTTCTCGATCGAGTTTTGCCTGTTTAATGGAGCCATTCCAGTCTACAGTTATTCTCCACGTAGCTCAAAGCATCTAGTATGATAATAAAAGTGAGAAACATTGAGGAATTTCTTATAATTAATAAAAAGCATAAACAAGAAGTATTTTATATCTATAAAACAGATTTATTTTGTTTCATAGAAAATAACTGGCTAAAATATGACACATCCCACTGCTCTCAGAAATTTAATCCTCCTGTTGATATCAGTAGAAAAAGTGTGAACTGAGAAATAGATATTTAAAAATATTTTTTAAAAGATATAATTTATGGGTGAGAAATTGGTGTCATGAACATTTGGTTGATTTCAGAGATCACCGTTGGTCATTTACTTAATTCCTTGGAGACCGTCGTAGTTTTATGCTTTGGAAATGCCGATTTAACAGCCCAGACCGTCTTTTTACTGTCTTGACAGAATTTGGTAGTTGGTGCTAACAGTTTCTTAAGCTAAATGTAAAAGTTTTAAAGCCGATGTAAAATTTAACATGCGATAGTTCATTTGAGTATCTTTAGGTCTCTAGTGCAGGGATGGTAAAAATGTTCTGGATGGATCTACAGAAATTTGCCTTTTGATATTTTTTCTCAATCTGTGGTGTCCAATACTGTGGCACTAGACACCTGTGACTCTTGCGCATGTGGAACGTGGCATATGAGACTGAAAAACTGGATTTTTAATTTTAGTTAATTTAAGTTTAAGTAACCACATGCGGTTAGTGGCTGCTGTATTGGACAGCACAGCTCAAATGAGCCATTTGATTACTAAAGGCTTGTCTTAGATTTTATCTTAATATCCTGGCAGACTTAACAACAACGAAAATAAAAATTTATCAAGCATTTTTTTTACTTTGTGCTAGAGCTGGTACTGGATATTTTATTTTTATGATTTACAACAATTCGGTTGACTCCTGTTTTACTGTGAGGAAACCAAGGCCTAAGAAGCATAATTAACTCAAATAGGGTCATAGCGCTGTTCCACATATTTACTCTTTCTATTTTGTCATAGGATCTAATTTCAGTTCAAACCATTGCATCAATTATTTTGTAGAACGTCTCTTGATTTGGGTTTGTCATATGTTTTATTAGATTGAAGTTTCATAATACTTTCATCAGCCTAAAATGAAACCTTGGACCCACTGCCCATTCTCTCCTCCCCGCAAGCTCCTAGCAACCATGAATCTACCTTATTTCTCTGTCGATTCCCCTATAGTGGAGATTTTGCGTAAATGGAATCATATACTATATGGTGTTTGCGACTGGCTCCTTTCTTTTAAAAAAAAATTTCAAGTATAGTCGACATGCAGTATTGTATTAGTTTCAGGTGTACAACATAGTGATTAGACATTTATATACCTTACGAAGTGGTCACTCTGATACGTCTACTACCCACCTGATACCATACATATTTATTACAATATTATTGACTGTTTTCTCTATACTGTACTTAATGTCCCCATGACTTTTTCTATAACTGGCCATTTGTATGTCTTAAACTCCTCACCTTTTTTACCCATCTGGCAATCATCAGTTTGTTCTCTGTATCTATGAGTTTGTTTCTGTTTTGTTTATTCATTTATTTTGATTTTTAGATTCCACATATAAGTGAAATCATATGGTGTTTGTCTTTCTCTGACTTATTTTACTTAGTGTACTACCCTCTAGGGCCATCCATATTGTCGCATGTGGCAAGATTTCATTCTTTTTTTATGGCTGAGTAATATTCCATTGTATACTTGTACCACATGTTTGTTAGCCATTTGTGACTGGTTTCTTTCATTTAACATGAGGTCCATCCTTGTCGAAGTCTGAAAAGTACTTAGTTTCTTTTTATGGTTGAATAATCTATCACATGGATATACCACATTTTGTTTATTCATTAATCAGTTGGTGGAAATTTGGGTCATTATTACTTTTTGGTTAGTATGAATAATGCTACTGTAAACATTCATATACAAGTTTTTGTGTAGACTTATGGTTTCTTTTTGCTTGGGAGTATGCCTAGGAGTAGAATTGCTGGTCATATGGTAACTCTGTGCTTAGCATTTCTGAAGCGAGGGTAGTTTCTTTTTGATAAATGTGATTGGTTCTTCATTCTTTCTTGTGGTTTCTATCTACTAGTAAATTAAGGTTACAATGGAGTATAGATTCAAGACAACAATAATAGTGCATCTGATACTCTCCGTTAGTGCCAGGGAAAACATTTTTAAAAATAATCAATACTTGTTTTCAGATTTCTGCACATACATTTGGGATTTAAAAAAAATACATGACAGTCTTTTTATGTTTTTTTTCTTAAGTACTTTGAAAAAAATACATATATATTTTGGAATTTATATAAATGGTATTCCCAATGTAATGGAGCCAGCAAGAGTCGACAGATCGTTGGTGAAATATCAGTTGAAATAAGAATCTGCACTTTTGGGTAAGTATTAAAGATAGCTAGAGGGAAAAATTTATGAACTCAAAGCAGGACAATAATCTTTGTTGGTTTGTGGCATTTCCCTAGGCCTTATTATGTTCAGACCCTAAAGGATTGGACTACATGCCTCTCTTTTGATCTATCTGCAGGAAACAGCAGACTTTTAAGCCAATATAGCTTCTTTTCGTTCAATAAATAGACATATCTTGCTGAGACGACAGAAGTCTGAAACTACTTTAAAACTGCATGTAGTTTAACTCTGACTGTTGCCAGAAATGATCTTATTAAAATAAAGTTATGATGTACTTTGGCCTGCAAGAATATTACCCTGAATTATAATGCAGTTGGTTTAAAAGGAAAATAAAAAAGTCCTAGGATAAAAATCTTCATATTTATGATATTTTCCTGATTTTCCCTGTTTTATCTAAATATTTTTTATTGTATATTTTCTATTGTATATTTTCTGTGCTAAGTGCTAAGGAGATCACAACTATATGTGTTGTTCTTGTCTTCAGGGAGCTTATAAAAATAATGACATAAGGCAGAAATGAAGAAAAGGTTCCAAGACTGAAACAAAGGGCTGCGGGGAGGGTTCAAGTAGTTCAGAAAGAAAAAAGCATTCTGGGGTCTTTCGAGGGGGTAGAATCCTGGAGCTGGCAAGTGCACGTGTGTGTGTGTGTGTGTGTGTGTGTGTGTGTGTGTGTGTAAGTCTTTGGGTTGACTTTTAAAGACTTTTTTTTTATAGTAGTTTTGTCTTTATAAGAAAATTGAGGGGAAAGTATAAAGATTTCCCATATATCCCCTGGCTCTATACATGCATAGCCTGCCCCTTTATCAGCATTACTCCCCAGAATGGTACATTGCCCTTCCCCCCCACCCCCCGCCCCAAGGATGACTCTTTATAGTAAATGTACAACCTTATTAATCTGGACTCCACTAATTAGGAAATTTTTGTGAAATGGTTAAAGTTTGAGCTTAAATAGGACTTTCTAAGAAATTAATGACATCAATGACATCAAGTAAGTGTTTGACCTGTTTTGGAGAAAATAATGGTTTAAAGTACTTCTGTACTTTATTTTCTATTGTATATTTTCTATACAATATATATAGTATAGAAAGGACTCATGCACAGACATTCCAGTAACATTTATTGAGTATGTGATAGCTGAAAGCATAGATTCTAGCATCAGGCTCCCTGGGTTTAAATATTGGCTCTCCTGTATACTAACTCTGTGGCATGTGCAAGTTCCTTTTTTTTTTTTACTTAACTTTTCTGACCTTTAGTTTCTTAGTCTTTCCTACCTCATAGCACTGCTATGAGGACTGAATGTATTAATGCACATTTAATACTTAGATCCATGCTTGGTACCTTATAAGCACTCACTAAGTGGTAACTGTTATTAATGTGTTTCTAGCACTGTGCTAAGTGCAGTGGGGAGATGTAGGAGAATTTCTGGTGTCAAAAATCTTACAGACTAGCAGGTAAAATAATATGTATGGATATACACATACTACTTCAGCATAAGACAGTACAGATAGGTGCATACTTCCTTTTTAGTTTGTGATTTTAAAACGGTAATCGATTCAATGGACTTTTCAAAAACTTAGTTTGATTCTCTTCAGATAACAGAAAAGTAATAGCTTTTCATACAACATGCTCCGTGGTTTAGACTTTTCCCTAAGTTCTGAATGACCTTCCCCTAGTTGGATTGATTTAGTGAAATTTGACTGTTGGGCCCACTGGGATGTACATTAACCTTTACCCTCATGTCTCTGGTGGACGTACCCATTGGGAGCAAACGCTCCTCTATCTTGAATTTTTTCTTACAGCACAGCTGCAGTACAGTGGCTCTAAAGTCTAAGGGATTGGAAACCGGCAGAACTATGGAGTGAAGCCAACTGTGTGAGGTGCCCTAGAGACGGAACAGACATGGTTTTTGGGTCATTTCCCAGTGATTCTGAAACTTTTCCTGAAAAAAATGTTGAGATACAGGTGAATTGAATTCTGTGTCAGCTACAGAAAACTTTGAGATGCTGAGTTTTGCCTAGTGCTGTCTACTCAAGCTGAAATTAAAAACTAGTATATTTTGCAAAATTTCTGTGGGCAGAAGGTACTGTGGCTACTGCTGCTCTTTTCCTAGGTTCATTGCTATTTTAGAGTTGTGCTGATCAGGGCCACTGCAATGCACAACTCCAGGGGACAATACTCACAGTTTATGTAAAGTGCACCTCTTGGAATTGTACAGTACACAGCCCGCAAAGCTGCACATGGAGGTCCTAGTGCTGCATCTGGCTCTTAGTCTTGTTTTAGAACCTGTTGTTACAAGTTCTTTGGAATGTGTGCTGGCCTTATGGTGATATTGGGCCTTCAACTGGACGAGGTCTTCAACTCCGAATTCTCAGATAACCCTGTGTTAAACCATGTGCCTGCTAAGTCTTATGGCATTAATCCAAACTCTCACTGTTATACCCAGGGGATTATGACATGCCTTCCCACTGTAATTCATCCGGTGACTGGTTTAAAGGATTTCTGACTCTTGTGTGCTAGGACCTCACCAAGCATTCTTTACTTTTAAGTCTGATTTGTGTTACTATAGCCACTGTTGCTGGGGTTGATCTTTCTATTGTCACTTGAAGGGCTGGGAGGTTATAAATGTATCGGGCTTGTGTGCTAGAGGCCGCTCCTATTTTATACAAGGCGGGCGGTGCTTCCAGCTGCTCCAGGAGAGTTCTGCAGAGTCTGCAGCAGCTGCCCCAGGAGTGGTCAAACCCTCTCCTGCATTACAGAAGGATTAAGTATGCTATTTGCTAGAGCTGCGTCTGGCAAGAGTCTTAGAACACTTCCAGGAAAGAAAAACAAAATTGTGTTTCAACAAAGGAGTAAGAAAAGCTGGCACTTATCTCCCCATGAGGTCACTTCACTTGGGACAAAAAGTTTGTGTGCTTTTAATTTTAACTAATGTTATAGGTACTCTGAGGAATCACAAACTTTAAGTTTGTGATTCTAACTTAGAGAAATTAGAAAAATAACTACATTAACTTTGGGATGATTGGAACCAGGATGATGTAGATGTCGATGTTGATGTTATTATGAATTTATATTTATTCATCAACAAAGTAGATCACTGTTCATTCCCAGATTTTTTTTTCTACATTTGGTATTTAGGAGTAGAGGTATAAAGCAAGCTTGTTGATTTAAACCACAGGTGTTTAAAACTGGAAGAAATTCTGATGTCATTTGTCACAAACTGCTCATTTTACAGGTGTCAAAGCTGAAACCCTGAGAAGCTAAGTAACTTGGGCGAAGTGACAGAGCCGAAGGGTGGTAGAATCTGAACCAGCACCCAGGCCATGGTGTGTCAGTGAAACATATGTCCTGCCTGATTTTCTCCCTGGGTCAGGTAGCCTTGGAGAAGCCAGAGACCTGCGGGGGGCATTTAAAGAACCCTCTGTGCAGCTGGGGCAATCCTCATTTGAACGCATTATTGAAATGGCATGGAATAATGCTTATAAAAGGCCCTGTCACTTACTACTAGAGTGACCTTGGGCAGTTAGTTAACTTTTCTCTGCTTCAGTTTCTTAATCTGTAAAATCACATTTACTTCCTCATACAAATCAAGGATGCTTTAAGGAATACTTGTAATTACAGAAGTGTTGAGCCCAGAGTACGTGCTGTGCAACCATGAGCTGTTAGAATTATGTGTTGAAAGTTGCCTTCTAACTTTTTAAAACCTGTATAAGAGAAGAAGTACCGATAGAGAGGTTTAAATGGTCATCTTGCCCTTATAGAGTTTTAGGTAGAGACTTTGGCACTAGATAGATAATCATAGCTTTGGATCTGGGCTCCTTCACTTTCTTGGTTCAGTTCATGCCACCTGTTCAATTTGCTCATCTGCCAAGTGGAGATAGGAATATATGTCTACATACTCATTAGGTTGTGAAGGTTAGAGGAAATGAATGTGAAACCCAGCTTCAACATTGCGTCTACACACAGACAGACACACACACACTCACAGAGTTCTATCCCCCCACCCCCACACTGCTCTTTAACTTTCATAAATTTCTCTCTATATAGATTATAATGCATGCATCATTTTCCTTCACTTATATATAGGGACTTGAATTATTTAAAATACTTTGTTCTGTCTTCGCTTTGTCTCTCTGAAATTGAGAGATCCTTGAGAAAAAGCATTAAGATTTGTACTTATTTTGGATCACTCTCCTCAGTACTGAGGGTGTAACAAGTGATCAGTAAGGATCCGTTGATGAAACAGTCCATCAAAGTAGCCAAGGCATGGGTCTTCTCCTTCCAGCATGTTTGGAACCTACTCTTCTCAGCTTCATTTTTCTCAGTCACTGTTTTTAATCTCAGTACCTCTGTGTTGATGCTTTCTGCTTCTGATCTCTGAGAAGCCATTGTTTCTTTGTCTCTGGTTTTCTAGTGCAAGAAACTAATGATATTCCCAGTCGTCGAATATTTATTAGCAAAATTTCTGCTTAAGATTTTTGGTCAGACTCTTTTATTCAGAATGTCTCGCTAAGAATCCATTGCAACCTTCAGTCACCTTTAATAGAACAGAAACAAATTTCTGTCATTTTCATGGTTCAAGAGCACCTTGGCAATGCTTATATTTTATAATAACTTCTACAGGATAGAAATGACTTTCTAAAAAATATTAGGTTTTTACAGTTATAGATTCTGAAGCCCATGAAAATAGTTTACATTTTCATTCTGGAGGGTTTTTAAATGTAATATTTTTCTAATTTTTTTGGAACAAATTTTATATTTTACTTCTCATACTTTGCTTAAAAACTTTTAAAATGCAATTTTTTCCTCTGAATGTTGCTTAAAATTATGTTGATATTAATAGTATTTAAGGAATATTCACTTATTCCATATTTATTGTGTCCTCTATGGCAGGTGGTGTGCTAGGTTCTGGGAATATAGTGGTCAATGACACAACATTGGTTTTAGTCCCTGTGGAATTTACAATCTAGTGGAAAGTAGGGAAAAATAGCCTTCAAATGAAGTAATGGGTAATGAAAGGGTAAAGTCAGCAGAAGTTGCTAAATTGCTCTAGTACTGAAACTAGTGAATATTTTTAAAAAAACTGTTCAAGCTGTGAACTGTGAGAAGAGGTCAAGATGAATTTTTTTTTTCCTCCATGATTGTTTACTTTTGCAAGGACTATAATAATTTATTTCTTCATACTTTATGGGGCAGAGAACTCAGAGGATCTTAGGCATTGTCCTGAAGCCATCTGACGTCTATGACAGATTTAGCCCCTTGCAGCACAGTGTTTGAGCTTCAGTGTGCTTCCAGTCAAAGGAAAGGAAAAAGCATCTTTCTGGGAAGCTTAAGACTACAAGTAGAGACAAAGTGACTCTTATGTTTCCATCAGAAAATGGACAATCCACATTTATATGAAATTTCAGATTCCTTTGCTCTGTGCTAGATATTTATCTGATAATTATAACATTAGGTTATCACACGGTCACTCTCCTGAAGGCAAAAAAGCATAAGCAAATAATCCCTTCAAGCCCCACATGTTTCTCCACAGTTTAATGAGAATATGAAAACTCTACTTACATCCAATGTAAATGTTTTCTTTTCTCTTTCTGAAAGAGGTGAAGAGGACTGACTATTAAGATTGAAGTAGCTAAAGGAGGAGCCAACCAAATTTAACATATTTGATAAAGTTTATCAATCGTAAGTGATTTATGGCCTTTATCTTCTATTAGACATTAACTACATGCATCAGATTGGTAACACATAGCGTGATCGTTGCAGAGTGGAGTCTGCTCTCTCAGGTGTGCTTGAGAGAACTTGGAAAGGTCTGAAGAGTAAAGCTCATTGAAGGACTTCTACTCCTAGGAGGAAATTCTGGTAAATCTCAGTTGATGATCAGCTCAGCTTTATCTTAAACTCAAAAATTTTTACTCAAGGGAAAAGAATTTGAAGTCATATTTTGCTTAGGCAAGGTCATAATTCAACTGCATTAATTGCATTTTTTGTAATTGCATTCAACAGATGCCTGGAAAATCTATTTGCTTGTTCCTTTTAATTGGTAGGTATTGTTTTTATTGTTAATTATCTTATGTATTTAATTTGATAAACTGCTTACATTTTTTTGGATGAAACTTAGATCACTATAATCCTATATAATAAAAAGAAAACCAGGCATCGCAGTCCACATTGCATGAATGTAATTGCACAAAGTGCAGGGTGAGTAGGGTGCTTGGTGTACTTGGAAGGCTTATTGAAGGGGAGTGCTGTTATATTTATCTCTAGCTGATTGTATCCTGCAAAAATCCAAGCTCAGTACTGAGAGATCTTAAAAAACATCGAGGAACTCAAGAAGTCCAGACTTTATGTTAAATCTCTAGGTCTTTAAATGTTCTTAACTAATTAATTATTTTTTTTAAAGAGAGCATGATTGATGGCATACAAACCAGTTAAAAAGCAAATCCATATTCAGGCAGCAAGGGGACAGTTTTTAATCTCAGCGGCAGTAAGGGTCACTAATTGAAAGTGCAACGTGGGAAATAACTGTAGAGTAGCTTTTAAGTAATGAGGAGAAATTCTTTTAAGTGGAAGCATATCCTCGAAGCTTTGTCCTCTTTATAGAAATCAAGCATTAGAGAAAAAAGTATATTTTGGAGGGGTATTTTCCATGTGTGCAAAACAGGAGAATCGCACATTTAAAAATTTCTGCATTTGCAGCCAATAGTAGAAAGAGTTGGAATAGTAGTAGTATTGCATGATTGATTATACCGGTGCTTAAGTTTGAATACTTAAAAATGTGGATTGGGAAGCTGCTTCATTTAGCAAATCAGTTCTAACATGGACACATGACTTATCCAGAGCAAATCATCATACTTCTGGTGGATGCACAGTGTATCTGGAGACATCAAAAGGAATTGCATCGCTCCTCTGTTTAGTGCTTCAGTGGTTTTCCACTGCTCACATGTCAAACTCAGTAGCCCTGCAAAGCCCTTCCGTGCCTGGCCCCCATCTGCCCCTTCGGCCTTATTTTCTGCCAGCCCTCCTCCCCCCATGTATTCCCGTCTTCCAATAGTAGGGGGGAGGCTACTCTCAGTTCCGAAATGATTCATGGATCCCTTTGCATTTGCATCCCTGTACTTTTTTCCCCCTTCACCAGGAATACACGGTGGCCTGGTTAGCTTCTTTATCCAGAGATAAGATCTTATCTCTAAACTCTCATTTTATGAACTCTGGTTTGGATGGATCTTAAAAAACAGACATTGTATTTATATCAGGCTCAAGAAGCGATCTGATTCTCTGCCAGGGTTGCAAGAGAAATTTATATGAGCTTCATAAGTATGCTTTATAAATAAGTGGATTTACACAAGTTTCCCAAATTAGGGATATTATAGCTCCTTTTGGATGACTCACAGTACATGTGAGCATATTAACAACTCTGAGAATTAGTGTGGCAAATACATTAACTTTGTTTGGCCCAGTGTTTCTTGAACTTATTTGACAGTGGAACACTTCTGTTGGAGTACATTTGTCAATGTCTTGAGGAATGTCTGGTTTGGGAACATAATTTGAGAAAATACTGCCTTAAAACATGATTTTGGTTAATAAGAGGGAATATCTGAGGAAGGAATGTCTTAGAAGTAGTGAAAACAACAGACATATTTTGTTCATTTTTTTGAATGGACTTCACTACTTGATTTCAGTATGTCAATATTTACTCATCAGTGCAGACCCTTTAAAGCTTTGGCTGGCCTAACTGCCATATAGTCCAACTACATGGAATGCAAATTTATATAATAATCTCTTTAATAATTTTTTTATTTGAAAAATTTCAAACACACACAAAAGCAGAGAGGAAGGTACATTGAACCCACATATACTTATTACCAAGAGCGACAGTTAAAATTTTGGATTTTTTCTTTATCATTTTCTCTTTTTTTGCTTAACTATTCTAAAGCATATCTAAGACCGTGTCATTTCACTTACACTCTCCAGTTTGCATCGTCACAAAGGAGACATTGCCTTATATGATCTCAATAATATTGTTGCACTTATCATTATAATAATTTCTTGGTAATGTCTAATATATGGTCCGTATTTAAACAGAGATATTGAGATATAATTCACATACCACAAACTTCACTTTTAATGTGCAATTCAGTGGTTTTTAGGATATTCACAAAGTTACAGGCCTATCACCACTATCTACTTCCAGAACATTTTTATTATCCCAAGAGGAAATTCATATTCATTACCGATCACTTCCCATTTTTCTCCTCGACCCTCTTAACCTAATTCCTGTTTCTAGATTTCTTCTGTTCTGGGCACTATGTGGTCTTTTGTGACTGACTTCTTTCATTTAGCTTAATGTTTTCGAAGTTCATGTATATGTTGGTACTTCAGCATATATTGGTACTTTATTCCTTCTTATAGCTGAGTAATATCCCATGGTATGGATATATCACATTTTGTTTATCCATTCATCAGTTGGTGAGCATTTGGTATGTTTCCATTTTTTGGTTATTGTGAAATGTGCTGAAATGAACATTTGTGTACAAGTTTTTGTGTTGACATGTCTTTAATTTCTCTTGTGTATATCCCTAAAAGTTGAATCGATGGGTCATAATTCTATGTATAACTTTTTGAGGAACTGCCAGACTTTTTTCCAAAGTAAGGGCAACATTTTAAGTTTCTGTCAGCAGTTTATGAGGGTTCCCATACCTGTTATTGTCTGCTTGTTACATTTTAGCCATCTTAGTGGGTGTGAAGTGATATTTCATTCTGGTTTTCATTTGTATTTCCCTAATGCCTAAGGATGTTAAGCACTTTTTCATTTAGCTATTGACCATTTTTGTATATCTTCTTTGGGGAAATATCTCTTCAAATCCTTGCCTACCTTTGAAGTAGATTATTTGTGTTTTATTATTGAGTTGCAAGAATTCTTTGTATATTCTAAATACTAGTCCCTTATCAGATATATTAATTGCATATATTTTATTTAATTTTTTGGGGTTGTCTTTTTACTTTCTTGATGGTGTCCTTTGAAGCACAAAATTTTAAAATTTTAATCAAGTCCAATTTATCTTTTTGTTGTTGTTGTTGTTGTTGCTTGTGATTTTGAGGTCATAGCTAAGGAACCATTCTTATCCAAAGTCATGTGGATTTGTGCCTATGTATCTGTGTTTTTTTTTTTTCCTGAGAGTTTTATAGTTTTAGCTCTTAGGTCTTTGATATGTTCCGAGGTAATTTTTGTATATTGATGTAAGGAAGAGGCCACACTCTTAAAAGTCAAATTTTAGCTTTAGCTTTCAGGGTGTTCTAGAAATGCGGCTATTTTCTCTTTGTCTACATCCATTTGTACACCCCATCCCCCACCTCCACTCCTCCATCCTTAACTAATAATGACATAATTTATAAGAATCTATTTGTGTAGTAGGGGGTACAGTCAGAGTTTATGAGAGGACAAAGTCTTTATTAATGAAGGATTACATTTAATTAAGCAAACAACCAAGTCATAATAGATATCTGCTGTATTTGCTGTCCTTGCCTTCTCTTTCTGTTTTTCTGGACATAGGACTTGGTTTATTCTGTGTGGAGTCCCCGTCCCACAGTCTCTGTCTATAGGCTGATCTTACAACACAGTCTGCAGCTCAAAGGGTAGGGAGCGGGAAATCGTGCTGACTTGGCCAATGAGGATTGTATCTCTAGAGCCATAGTGATTGGGTTAGAGATGAACACAGACCCCAAAAGGGTTATAAGAGACCCACCTGTAATTAATGGGAAAGAAAATTGGCACAGCCTAGAAATACTGCTGTCTTACCACCAGAAAGGGGTGTCCATCCGTTTATAAAACCAGCACGAGGAAAGGTGAGCTGAGAGATGGAATCTTAACTATCCATTGAACAGCTGAATCTAGCTTTGCCTGAAGCTTAGACTATTTCTGGACCTTTCAGATATGTGTCTGTATATTCCTTTTTATATTTTGCAGCTGAATGAGTTGTGTTTTTTACACAGATAGAGTGCTAGAAGATGAAGACACAAGATATATAAGAAGCTTTCTGCCTTCATGGACTTGACAACCCAGAAGGGAGACAGGGAGACAGACATACCGACATACAGACATACAGACATACAGACATACAGACATACAGACATACAGACATAAATGACGAATGCAAGAATGGACATACGTATGAAATAGATGGACAGCACATCTATTGGGGAGAAATTAGGGTACTGGAAAAAGCCCTTAAAAAGATCAGTCCTAATTTGGGGTCAAAAGATGGATTGGCATTCACTAAGGCTTTCTGTAAACCTCAGAACTGATTTTCCCACTGCAGCCTGCAATCATTTGCATTATTTTATTGAAGGTGGATGTGTCGTTACACTTTACCATTGGTTGGCGCTGACCATCAAATGGGCTGTACTGTGACACTTTTCTATTCTAACAACCATGAAGAGAGAGCAGGAACTAACTGTATTAGGTTGTTATAAAACTGAAAATTTGGGAAGTGGCTTTGAGGTTTTCAGAACCTAATTTTATTTTATTTAGTGTATTTTTGAGATAAAGGTCTAGTATAGTATTGTGCATCAGGTTAATCTACCCCTGTAGACTTGGGATCATTTTGTCCCATACAGTATTTCACAGAGAAAAATATTGTTGTTCATGTAGGCTCTAGAATATGCCCAAAGTCACACAGCAGGACTAGAATTATAATATATTTTTTTTTTTTTTTAATTCTTGGTGCAGTCTTTCTGCTACTTTATATCTTCTCCGAACAAACCTGTTAAGGCTTGCTCTTAAGAAAGAAACTCTTTCTTAAGAATAAAAGCTAGTAGGGTTTGCAGTAAAATTCTCGAGGAATACATTAAGAATAGAGGAGGATGTTATGTGGATGAGCCTTTTGTTTTAGCAAATTGCCAGCTGGATGTTTTCATCATTCTGAGTTGGGTACCCAGATTCCACTGGAAGGGCTGGATGGCTGCCATTTTTCACCCAGATGGTGCTCCCTGTGTCAGTTAAATCAGGCAGAAGCTGTGGTCCTCATGCAGAGTGACAGCACACCTATTTCCAGCATTCAGGATTTTCAACATACTGAATTTGAGATCAGGCAATTATTAGAAGTCAGATTTTTTTCCCTCCTAAATCTCAGGAGATTATTTTTTTGTTCTTCTTTACTGAGCCACCATCTTCTCCCCTTTGTGACCTTCATAATAAGGTTATACAGACCCCCTGTAGCTTTGAATAAGATTATCATAAGTAAATATGAAAATGTTAATGTGTAAGCAAACAAAATAAAGAAAAGTTAAAACATTTTTTTCTTAAAAATTGATGCTAGTGCTTGGTCCTTTCTAGTGGTGGGCACTCCAAATATGGAATAGGCTTAGAAGGGGAAATCTGCTTATGTGGCAATCAAAATGACTCATCCTAAAGTTTCATTTAGATAACAAGCCCACATTTTAAAAATTTTATATCTTATTTGGAGTGGTTGATTAGGGAACACTTGATGGCATTGTGGAAGGAAGGGTGATATTTCCCCTTACCAAGCTTTGTTATTTACTGCCACTGGTTATTTTTTTGTGTCTTTCCTGATGCTCAGTGAAATCTCTTCTAATGAATTTGCCACTGTCTTAGGAAACTTTCCTAACAAATGAGAAGTTTCTTCAGCATCTTTACTAGTGGTGTGTAGAAGGAAAAGCTAAATTGACATGGCATACACCCACTAAAATTTTGCTGTCTAAAACTGAGGATGACACAGAAAGACAACTGTGTTTAAGCTCAGCTGCAATCCATTCCATTTCTTTGGTGTCCAGCAGCCATTTGCCAGAGCTTTGGGACTAGAATAGCCTGTCAGTTATCCTCGTGTCCAATGTAGTTTATTTTGGGGGATGAGTGAAGTAGGAAGAAAATACAACTTATGGAATTACTTGGACCTGGTATGGAAAAATGACTGGAAAAGGTGAAATGTGAGTAAAGCTAAGAAATGAATATAGGAGAATATATGAATACAGAATATAAGAATATAGAAGGCCCTATTTTTTTTAGTAATAGCTTTACTGAGGTATTGTTCACATACCATACCCTTCACCCACTTAAAGTATACAATTCAGTAGTTTTATTATAGTCATAGAGTTGTACAGTTATTACCCCAATTTTAGAATGTTGCATCACCTCCAGAAGAAACCTCGTATGCTTTACATGTCACCCCTCTGCTCCCTTCTGCCCCACCCCCACCACTAAGCAGCTACTAATGTACTTTTTGTCTGTATGGATTTGCCCATTTGGAAAATTTTTATATAAATGGTATTATACAATTACAATATGTGGTCTTTTTGTCTGGCTTAGCATAATGTTTATAAGATTCTTCCATGTTTTAGCATGCATCAGTACTTCATTCCTTTATATGGCCAAAAAATATTTCATTGTATAGATACATCATATTTTGTTTTTCCATTCATCAGTTGATGCAAATTTGTGTTGTTTTTATCTCTTGGCTGTTAGGAATACTGTTGCTATAAACATCCGTGTATAAGTTTTATTCTTACACAGATGCAATAGATACAGAGGTCAGTGGGAAATTATTCTAAGATGTCAGAAACATTTTAGTTTGCCATCGTGTAAATGCTGATTGACCTTTTATGACACAGAAACTGTGTATTTACTTCTAAGGAGCAGATAAAAAATTTAGAAGACTAATTTTAGTTCAAGTTATGGAGCTGGAACTTTTCAGCTGGTTCCATTCTCAAGAATTATTAAATTTCTTCCTTCATACACATCACTGTCTAAGACTGTGGTTCTCACACTGTTATCATTTCACTATGACTCAGGGATAGGACTGTCTCCCATCAGACACGAATGGGGCTCTATGGTAGTGATTCTCAATGAGCAGAGGGGCAGTGAGTACAGGAAATAAACATACAGATATGCTTCAGTGTGTTGGGTATGATTATGGGTGCCCGTGATTAGAGAAAGAAGAGGGAGTGATGCCCTCATCCTGGAGGAGTCATGGAGGACTTCACTTCACAGATGTGGTCACGTTCAAATTCAGATTTTTAAAAACTGAACGAGGACCTAGATTTTTTTAGTCGCAATGTAGTGCTCACTGATTGTTTTTGTTACCGTCATAATCACTATTTTTTTTAGTATTCAATATGTTTTATTTTTTCTAATACCACACCTTCTCCCTTTTTATTAGGGAAACAAAATAAAAAAAGTCATGGGTACATAACAAACTACCAAATCCTGTCAGCTGCACAGAATTAAAAAAAATTCTGTGAACTTCTGTTATTGATACTATCTTCTGAGCTGTTTTATTTTTATATTTGGATTAATATTTTTGTCTTTTTATCCAACTACTGCACAGAAAACTTGCCTGTTAATGGAGTAGAATATGTGGACCTTTATGTGGGAAGGTAAAGTTCTTAGTGTTGAAACCATATATTTTACTAGAGTTTAAAATGTCAGTTCTAGTGTTATAATTAACACCATTTATTTGTATAAGTTTTCTCTGTTCTTTCACCACAAAAATGACGCCTCAAATTCTAAGTTAGTGTTTAAAGTTGACACCAATTATTGTCTTACTTATAGACGGTATGAGAATTGCTTACTTCATTATATTAAAAGCTGTAGAGCTTGGAAGAAGCTCTTAAAACTGATTAATTCGTTGCTTAGGTGGTACTTATTAAGATTTTCTCTAGAAGTCTTCTGACTTCTCTGGTAATCATTCCAGCATACATGATTACACTGAGAAAATTCCGTATGTGAATAACTGCAAATCCATCTTTTGTAAATCACAAAACTCTAAATATTAGGCTTCATTTGTTATGGAACACATCCTTACTTTGCTTTCATAGTTGCTACTACATAACAAAATAATGGAATACTATGATTGATGCATTTTTAAGTATTCTGACATCTACTGAATTTATATCAAGGTTAAAACTTATTTTTACCTAGATATCAAGGATCAAATAAATTGAATTAAAAACCTGTTTGTCACTCCATATATATACCACTCACTGCTTTTATGTTCAGTTCACTGCTGAATGTTCAGTTGTGCTGACTGCATTGAGATGAATGTTTTGTCATGGAAATCTTATTGACATTTGGACATTTAACTGAGTTGGCTGTCTCGGACACTGGTTCTGTAGTAAGTGGGTCTATTGTTCATAATAAAGAGGAATATAAAATTGCATGGGAATTTTGAATGAGTCTTACAAAAGGGCTGCTTCTAAAGATAGAATGATATTTTTAAGAATATGGTTATTTATAGCAAGAAGAAAAATAAAGCTTTTCAGACAAAGCCATGTGTTAATTATGGGTCCTCTGGGGTAGCATCACAAGAAGGAGTCTGTAGAGTTTGACCTCTGGCTGGTGGAGGTGGCTGGGGATCACTTGGTGGGATTGTCAGAGTTTGTTATTGGAAGTTTCAGTCT